TCTTAACTCTGTAGTAAACTCTTTTATTGTAGCACATATTTCTGCAGTGGCTTCATAAATCTTTTCCAATGTAAGTTTGCAGTTTAATTGTAGCTGAACTTTCTCCATATTGATAGTAATTAAAGAGAGTCTCTTTTTTCCTTTTTTTGTCCTTTTTTTGTAGAGGCTGTATTTAATAAAAGTTGAGCAGTATCCACCCCCACAATTCCCACTGGTACATCAGTTTAACTTTTCTCTTGAAAAAATTTGAAGATCAGGTCTATTCCACAAAGAGAAATCAGAAGTTGCAATATTAGGTTTTCGCCACTAGATGTCCTCAATAGATTAAAAAAAATCTTTTCCAAACACCATTTGTTTCCTCTTTTTTCCAATCTTTTAAGATATAATGTGAAAAAAGAAATAATCTTCCAGCATAAAGTGATAGTACAGCTCTTTAAAAAGCATTTTTTTTGTACCCCAAAAGAAGATGAAATAAAATATAGTCTCTAAAATTTTATTCTATTCTTTTGTTCCACACCTTTCTTCCCAAACATATAGAAGCTGCTTTTCCAAAACAGGGAAATAGTTCTAAGAAAACTCTTACAGGCAAAAAAAAGTAGAGTAAAGAGAGAAGCCAAAAAAAAGCCCCACCCAGATTCACCATGGTGGTATCTCAATGCTTAGATGTTCTTTGACTTGCAGTTTGAAGCAGCTGGGTGATCGGCCATTTTACTGGCCGATCTTCCTTCTCCGTCGGCCCTCAGAGAAAGCTCGGACAGTTGGAGGAGCCGCTGCTCCTCCGCAGCCGAGCGAAGCATCGTCGACAGAAGTCGCACCCTCCAGGGCGACTTTCGACCCGCATAAAGGTCTACCGGCGGAGGAAAAACTAGCCGATGAGGAGACGAGTCTCCTCGTATGACTAGGGACGCCGCAAACCAGAACCGGAAGTGCAACTGATTCATATTTATGATGGTCACAGTGTACGAGGGTTATGTGAAGGGACCAAAACCTGCTGCAACCACCCATCAGATGGGGGGAATAAAAACCAAACACCCCCCTGCTGCCAATCCTCAACAGAAATGCTCACAACAATGAAAATCTTGGACAGAAGGAAGAGTGCCACCAGGTGGACAGGCAGGTGTCTTGCTCGGCTGTGGCTGGGGGGGGGACTTTTTTCAGTGCCATTGTAACTTTGAACAGTCACTAAGCAAACTATTGTAAGTCGAGGACTACCTGTACTTTATCACTTTTTTCCTTTTTGGGGGAGTCATCAAGTTTTTGACACCTTGCTAGGTGACTGGTGGTACTCGGATATTGCCATATCCTAAAAGTGGTACAATGAGTGAAAAGGTTGAAAAGCCCTGATCTAATAGAAATATATACCATTAAGAGCCATCATCATCAGCCATCTACGGACACACCGCTGATGGCCCATAATCCATAAGATGTCAAGGTCTTCATCGAAATCAATGGACAAACAACATACCATTAAGAGGAGACAGACGTTTACAACTTTTATAGACCTCAGTGCAACATTTGATTTAATAAACAGGGATCACCTGTGGAAGAAACCTATAGACCTAAGCATGGATCCTACACTCCTCTCTTTATTCAAGGCATTATACACAAATTTATGTCTAAGGTACACACAGACAGGAATGCATAGTACTTAGTACCAATAAGGGAGTCAGTCAAGGATGTATACCGGCTCTCTAATCTGGATACAGGTAATCCTTGACTGACAGCCATTCATTTAGTAACTATTGAAAGTTACAATGGCAATGAAAAAGAGACTTAATGACTGTTTCCACACTTACAACCATTACAGCAACCTCATTCTTGTGTGATCAAAATTTGCACGCTTGCCAACTGACATCTATTTATGGATCATGTGATCATCTTTTGCAACCTTCTGACAAGCAAAGTCAATAGGGAAGCTAGATTTACTTAACAATTGTGTAACTAATTTAACAACTGCACTGATTCATTTAACAACAATGGCAAGAAAGATCATAAACTGGGGCAAAATTTACTTAAAAACTATTGTGCTTAGCAATGGACTAGCTGAATGAATGAAATTTCAAGGTCCCTCCATTTAACCAATATGCATATCCCCAGAATTAAACACGTAAACACTGTGCTCTATGCAGATGAGGTAGTATTAATGTCATGTATCCAGGTAGGGATAATTCATATTGTGCACTCAATGACCTGAAGATCAATAAATTCAAACCTAAAGTAATTGTTTTGAGGAAGAGGCGGAGTATGTATAGTTGGAACTTGGATAGGGAATGTACACCTCAAATTACGTCCTGGGTTTCACAGAAAACAAGGCTTCTGATTCCCACATTTTAAGAGAAGGGCTACAGCAGGTGCCAATGCCATAGGTCAGCTCATCAACTACTATAGTTACTTGGCTCATCTACTTCCAATCATAAAAATATTGTTTATGTATATTGGTAACAAAAAGTTCAGAAGTTATATTAAAACAAGCTTGGAGAACAAACAACAGCCAAAATCTAAAATCCGAGTATTTTCTATTATTTCAGAAAGATATTGTACATCACAGCAAAATAGTCCCAATGATCACAAATGGTGCACAGTTGTGGGACTATATGACTGCCCCTTTAGTGGAAATGACGCAGTCTACTTTTCTCAAATGTATCCTCGGGGTGGATTACTCTACACCACTTCCAGCAATATGGATCTAGTTGGCTCTACCCCTTATACAAAGCCATCCAGTAATTAAAATATTCAACTAGAAAACATGTAAAACATACTGTGGCGGAGGGACCTATCAATGGACCGAGATAGATTACCTGAGCATGCTACCTTGCAATTGGGTTAACCAATTTTCAAATGTCTTCACAATGTGGATTCTCCATCCAAATCCCCGTTCAATCTGATCTAAAGGCCAAAGAAGCTGTCAAAGAGTCACTGATGTGGCTGCCCAGGAGGATAAGCTGTGAGTACTGTTGTTGTACTGCCTTCTCTTTCCCCAGGCCTTTGACCCGGAGCTTAATGCAGCTGTGTATTGATTTAGGACTTGCTTTGGACTTTGTTTGGCATTTCTGGGACTGAATCAAAGTAATGGGTATTGCTGGAACAACATGTCCAGTTTCTTGTGTTCCTGTTTGCATCTTGACCTCTGGCTCTGTGTATTGATTTAGGATTGGCTTTGGACTTTGTTTGGCATTTCTTGGATTGAATCTTGTCAAGAGTTAATCTCGTGTGGGGTTTGTAACCTGGCCAGCTCGTCATTTGGTTTACTACTGAAACTGTTGAGGGTTTTGAATAAAAAACTTTGAACTTTCCATTATGAGCATGTGTGCATGAGTGGGGCAGCACAATGAGGACCTGGTAGGAGGTGGAGAGCTGAGCCTGATTCTAATCAGTTTGAAGGGGTTGCATGCGTGGGAGGCCACAGTGAAGAGTGTGTGCTGAGGGCGAAAGTCTGATTGAGGCATAGTGAAGAGCCAACTTGGAGTCAGAGCTGCAGCACAGAAGGATGACAAGCTGGAAGGGACTGCAAGCAAGAACTGGCCCAGAGAGTCAACAGGGGCCTTGGCAGTGAATACATGGCCCAGATCAGAGATCAAGGCCATAGGGAACAGTGCAGTGCTCAGACATCAGAGATGGATTTGGGGCCCTCTGTTA